ATTCCAGTAGAAGGGGAGGAATTCAGAGGGACAGGAGCATATGGTGTTAAAGGACAGGGCGGGAGAGATTGATGCAGCCAGGTAGTGAAAGCCTTTGTAGACCATGCTAAGGACTTTGGGTCTCATCCCAGTCACTAGAAGACGTTCCAATGAGCAGTGTAGGGTATACAATAAAATAGAAATAAATTGTAGGGAGGCAATTAAGTGAGAGAGAAAAGGAGGTGTTTGATTCAAGAGCCAGTTCTGTGATGGCATTTATCTGGAGACTATGTTTTTATAGTTAATTTAAAAGCAAGACCATTATTTATTTTATCAGCCAGTTTGTCTAAAGTCTTATGTAAGGCATTGCTTTGTTGGACTACCGTGCTAAGAAAAACTTTGTTTTAACTGAGGAGCTGATTTAGGATTAAAGTCAAGGCTCAATCATAGCTATCATTTTGAGATTTATTTAGGACATTCCCTATGTCCTGAATTCCTATTCAAATTTTATTTTATTTTATCATTGTATCGGTGTTTTGTTGCAAGCTGCTTTCTTAGTAACATGAAGTGTTATGAATAAGACGTGGTTGGTGTATGAATAAATGCAGGTAAAAATAAAATAAGATATATAATATATATGCACATAAAGTTTGCATTTGGTTTTGGTTAGTGAGAACATTTTCCTAGTTCCTTTGGACCTCTTAGAAATGTCAGGTGAATAGTTTTCAAATATCGTGTTCCATGTGGAAGCCGGAGCCTGGGAATAAACATGGAGATGTATCAGCATGGAGATGGCTAAAATCTGTATTTGTGATTTCAAACAGTGTTTGAAAAAAATACTTAAGTGTTTGTGTTGTTTATTTTGTTTTTTGATAATTGTGTTTGGAAACTCTTGACCTAGCAACTCTTCCCAGAAATCTAGAAGAGTGTACTCAATACAAGCTGGTTTATACCAATCTATTCTTTTCTTCAGCTTATTGTTAAAGTCGATTGCTTACACTGGTATCTTACTTCTGTTTTCTACAGGGCACTGATCCAAAATGCTATGCAGAATATTACAGGACGTTTCATGAAACATAGATTTTCTCATTTTGAATGAAAGGATATGGTGAATGCAAAGGGTGATGTACATATAATACTTGATAACCTTATTGCCCTAATTAATTTCCTTCCCTTATTTTATGTGCTCAGTGAACTACTATTCTTCCTAATGATTATTTAATCATTATGTTGTGGGGAGAACTTTTTCTAATCTTCTTGATTAGGTTAAGTTCACCTCATTATATGTGTTTATAGCATCTTGTACCAGTGCCTCTTTCGTAGCATTGATGACAACGGCAAATTTACATTTATTTATGTGACCTTTTGTTTAACATATCTTTCTTCCAAATGACTATATTCCCTCAGGAACAGGGAGCCATTTTATTTCTTATTGTTTTATCTTTCACATGTAGTACAGTGTCTAACCCATGATAGGGGCTCAAAATAGTGCTGACCATGGGAATGAGTGAATGGGTATCCATATAACTGAGTATGGTGCACGCTTTGCACATTCAAGCGTCGGAAGTGATGGGCATGTGCTCTGGCAGCCCAGGGGGCTGATCTCTCTTCTCACCTTTTCCTTACTCCTTGAAGGTATGGGTTTCTTCTTGAGGATCCAAATATGAGGAAAGATTATGTAGACTGTCTTATCTTTGTCCAAAACATTTGTTACATGTAAAATAAAGTGGCTTGTTCACATGTCACAGCTCACTACTCAGAATTTTAAAGTGGGAACTATTTGAGAATCAAGCTAATTCTATGTATGGAAGGATAATGAAATAGGTCCTTTCCTGGCATATGCAGTGTATTAGAAATAACCGAAAAAGGCATTGTAGTGAGATATAAAAGGACAAGAGCTAAGATGTCCTGTGTTCCTCTGGCACTTTGGTTCTGTTTGGAGTCATTGTGGTGAGAGTTTTCACTTAATTCGCCTCCTTGGGCTTCTGCTCAACAGTGATTCTCACTACAGACTGAAGTGTCTCCTGTTATCTGTACCATTTTTTTTCATTAATACAATTATGTTGTATTAGTGAGTAGTTAGCATTCATGGCACAATGGAAAGAGTATAGATTATGGAGTCAGCAAGACCTGAATTGGTGATCTGCCCAGGCCTTGTCTTGATTAAGCAAAGGCCCTGGGCATGTCCTCTATTCGCTTCAAATTTCAGTTTTTTCATTTTAAAAATGGAAATAATATTGCTTACTTTGCATTGATGATTAAAAGAGCCAATATCTTTAATACGCTGAATACATTGCTTTTATCATTATTTTCAGGATTGCATTAATTTTCAGGAAAAAAATGATTCTGAATCAATTGAAAAATGTACTAGAAATATTTCCATAGGTATCCTGGAAGTCTTGGTAAATGATGCCAGGTAGTAGAATGATTAATTGAATGTGGGGTTCTATTTAAAAGCTAACAAACTCACAAGTGATATTCTTAGCCAAATGACATCCAGGAAAAGATTATTTCCCATAAATATCAATATGTAAGGAAATGCACTCTTTTATGGACACAGGGTCTCTTTTTCGGCCAAGTAATAATCGAGATACTTTTGATGGAAAACTGTAGAGGATGAGACCTTGGGAATATGTAAATGCAGTGCAGAGCAGGAGAGATTGAGAGCTACCCAGTAAAAATCCCGTCTTAGAATGGGAGGAATCTAAATTTTGCCTGAAACTTTCCGATGATCCTGAGGTCTCCATTTGCTGCTGCTCAGGAGCAGAGAAACACCATCTGATCGCCTTGTCTGCCTGTAGGATCTTGTGCTTCGGTTCAGCAAGGACAGGGTCAGGCGGAGGGTGAGAACATAGTACTATGGGGATACAAGGAGGTCTTTGGCTACTCTTTCTGCTCAGCATGTACACAAAGACCAGAGGCTCCTCCCAAGGGAAAAATTTGAGGGCTGGCCAGATGGAGTTGTGGGTGGAGGTTATGTTGTGTAGCAATATTTGAGAGAGAGACCTCCAGGTCTCTGTTACAGAGCCACGTTTTTTCCACCTTAAGCACTTGGCACAGCATCTGTGCACTAGACACGTGGGTATCTTGAAGAGCAATGATCACCATGCCTCTCGGTACACTGCTTGAAGTGGGCAAAGTCCGCATTTCACCTGAAACATGGGGCCTACTTCCATAAGAGTGACGGTGCTGGAGTTATTTGACTGAGGCCGAGCACATTCCATGCATTTGGGGTAATGAGAGTCCTTTTCTGGCCTATGCATTGTATTCTGAACAGCTGACCGAAGCTCTGGCCGCTGGGAGAAGAGCTGGGAAGCAGACATGTGAGAGCTTCTGTGGCCCATTCAGTTTGCTTGGAGTTATTGTGGCGCATTTTTTTCATTGAAGAAAAATGACTCGTGTTGTTTCCTTACTGCTTTGGTTCTTATACCAAATTCCCCAGAGGCTTTTCCCATTTTAGCTCAGCTAACTCTTAAAAGAAATGGAATGTAGCCACAGTAAAATATTACTAGATATTACTACATTTTATACTTTAATGTTTTATTTTGGTGATTTCGTTACCTCTGTTCTCACTTTAGGGGTGTCACATCTATATTCCTGGAGAAACTACCCACAAATAAAACATATAACCTGCCTTGTAGGGCTACATATGTTCTCCATAGCTGTGTGTATTTTTTCATAGTGCTTTTCAATATATCAGTTTGACATTTCTGATGGTGATTAAGATGTCATGAATTAGGTAAGATAAAGGGAAGTGAAAGCCAGAATGAAAGGCTTCTGTACTCACTACAGGAATTGCCGAGCCTGCCTTAGAAACCTCACCAAGTCTTCATGGTCCGGATCAAATGCCGCCCACCTCAGAAATCCTTCACTAGCCTCAAGAAGCAGATCTTTTGTTCCCCCTGATGTGATTTCCTAGCTCGCCCCTTTTCTGCATCATTCATTCGGCACTTATTTTCTATTCCACCCTGTGCGTTGCCTTTTTGTATGTTTAAATGAAAGTGTATCATAACCTCCTTAAGAGCTAGGACCTTTTTGTTTTCTACCCCGCCTTGCAAATAGGAATCCAAAAACTATGTATTGTGTGCTGATATTTTGCTGTCTTGTTGATTAATCAACAGTGGATTTAGCAGTTGGTGCTGGAAATATGGGGTGAGCAAGGCAGATGAGGTCTCTGCCTTTGGTTAGAAACAATTACCCCAAGTTTTCCTTCTCTCCCTCCACTACTCTATGTTGGGAAGCAGACTGGAAGAATGTAAGAAGACACGGGGAAGGAAAGGAAATGGGTAGTCAGAGGAAGCACAATGAGTTTGTTGGAAAGTACATTCGTTGCCTCTATTCTCACTTTCACAGTGAAGTTTTAGAAGTTAGAAACATTGGTTCTGGAGTCAGCCCCCTGCCTGTGTTCAAATTCCCACTCAGCTTCCTTTCTGGGTGATCTTGAATTTATTTCCTCTCACTGAGGTTCAACTTCTGCTATTAATAGTCAACCACATCACATTAGACGATGTTGGGTGCCTACCTCACAGTATGTGCTTAGTGTCGGAGGTTATTAATTGTATTATTATTTTAGCTACTGTTATCTTTACATGCATGATTCTAAGGAAGGCCATGTCCAAGACTGCTTGGAATGGGGCAGAGACAGCCCAGGCCTGGAATTTGCTCAGAGGCAAATTCAGCTTTCCCAGATGGCAGAGCTGGCTCCAGGCTCCCTGGACAACCCTGAAGGGAGTGCTGCAGGCTTTCGCATCTGGACTTATTCTGACAGCTGTGGGCTTCCCGGGGCTCACCTCCTGCTGGCCATTTTCCTCTTGCCCCCAGTAAGCCTTACTAGTTGGGAACATGTGGAAGGAAAGATAAGTTTCTTCTCCTCTTTGGCCTCCTGGTTGTAAATTTACTTAGATCTGATGGGAAGAATCATGTTTAGTATTTTGTAGGTTAAACTTTCCTGGCTAGAACTTTGTTTTCTCCAATACTAACAAAATGGATTTTCTTTCCCCCCTACCCTCTCTTGTTAATAGGGTGCTGAGAAAATTTTGTCAATGAATGAATCAGGAGAACTGCAAGACCTCTTAACCAAAATTGAGGTAATTGTGCTTTTAGCAACTTATTTTTAGTAATCAAAATGTTAAACACATTCTGATTGTAATTGGGTTTTCCTAATTGAATTTTCCCAAGTTCTTAACAAATATGTAAGAGTATACATGTGGCAGTTTTCATTTGATGTCACCTGCCATTAAGTTTGCTCCTGCTAGAGTGGCTTTAGTGTTAGCTTCTAACAGCCTCATAGTATTAGGTGAAAACTCCAGTCCACTTTGTTAGAGCCTAATTCTCTGTAATAGAGATGATGATGATATGTTTCAAAGCAGACACTTGCCTTGAAGCACATTTAAAATTTTTTGCTTAAATTATTTTATTTTTCTCATAGACCGGGTCATCATTTCTAAAGATTACAGAAAATTGATTTCTACAAAAGTGCACATTTAAATTTTGTTCCTGTACTGATAATTACAGCATCAGAGAAATATTTATTCAAAGGTTCAATGTATCAAATCAGTATGCAACCAGAAAGCCTCAATACCTCTCTGCTAAGCTTATTTTTCTTTATATGTAGGCAGACCATGTATTTTATCATATAAACTGGGGTACTTTGAGAGTGCATGGGTGCATTTAGAATTATTCTGGGACAGCAAACATGAACCAGGACTTTCCCAGGGGGACTAGGCAGTCTGCTTACCTGGAATCTAGTGGATAGTTCATCATGGTCTAGTCCACTTTGCTGACCTTGTTTTTGATTGTCCACAATTCCTTCCAGTTCAGTGGAAAGAAAGAGCTCTTCATGGTTTATTACTTCCATTCCTTCGTGCAGCTGTTCTGTCTGCCTAGAACGCGGTTGTTCCAATCCCTCATTTCCCTCCCCCATTGCAGCATCACTCCTTCCCCAAACCATTTCTGATCTCTCCCACCTTCGAATTCCTGTGCTTATCAAAGTCTTTTGATTTTTACATTACTCTTCCTTGGGTATTTGACTCATGTCCCAAATGAACTATATGCTCCTTGGTTGTAGGCATCATGTTTTATTCATATTGTGACCTTGCCCAGAAGGACAAACACAATGCAGGTGTGTACTTGATAATCTAAAACTCCTTACAGCTCGAAAATCTGCATAGATGGAATTAATTTCTTTCCTTTTGTACCTATGTTTCCACCCCCATGAAAACATTAATTTGTGTTAATATATACCCATTTATTTAAGTGAGTTAAGTTGGTTAATGTGTGTTATTATTTTCTGTGCACACTTTTAATTTATATAAATGGTGTTATGGGATATATCTAATTTTGTTTCATATTATTTTCTCTAGGCGCTATGTTTTTAGGTAACATCTATATTGCTGTGAACATTTAATCTATTTCTTCTCACTGCTGCAAAGTTCTTCATAACAACACTGTTCCACAGAACTTTCTTCAGGGATGGAAATGTTTATATTTCTACTCTCCAAAATAGTAGCCACTGGCTGCATGTGGCTATTGGGTACTGAGTGTGACTGAGGACCTAATATTTTAATTTATTTGATTTTTCTTGATTTAAATTCAAATAGTCACATATGGCTGGTAGCTCCTGCTTTGGACTGTGTAACTCCATGAAGCCCACCTACTATTTTTTTCTCTACCCTCTTTTCCACTAGCGGGTGCCCAGATGTCCTCCAGCTCCTTCCATCAAACAAACAGTGCTGCAAGGAACAACCCTGAGCATGTTCACTATGGGTTTCTTGGGGAGTAGAAGTTGTTGCATCAGAGCTTAGGCATATACAGTACTTAGTTTTCCAGAAAGTTTCAGATGTCTTTCCGGAATGGTTGCACCGCCCAACACCCCCTCCTGTAGAGAAAGAGGTTTTGTGTGTCTCCCCACATTCCTGACAGTTACTTTACGGGGTTCTCTAATTTACAGTTGTCTGATTTTTGCAAAAGGAGTAGGTATAGAGGTATATTGCTTTATTGTTTTAATTTACATTTTTCTGATTACCACTGAGTTTCGACATTTCATTGTATGTTTGTTAGATTTTTACCATTTCTTCTGTAAATTGTGTATTCTTATACCTCGTCCACTAAATGTATTGGACTTGCCTTTATTTGGGTTGATTTTCAGAAGGTCCTTCTATTCTAGGTCTTAATTTTTGTTAGTTTTAGTTATTGGATGTTTTCTTTCCTTTTTTTAGATCCTTTCATGGTGTTTTCATGCAATAGAAATTCTCTAATATAATCAAAACCATCACTTTTCCTTATGTTTTGTGCTTTTGAATTTTTACTTATGAAATACCCTTCCATATTAAGGTCAGAAAGATATTGTCCATATTTGCTTATATTAACTTTATCATTTTTCACATCTAGGTCTTTAATTCATATAAAATCCAATTCCATTTTTTTCACATATGGTGAGCCAGGTTCCCAACATCATCTAATAAATTATTGCTTTGCTGTGTCAATTTTATATTATAGTAAATCCCATATATACTTGGATCTTTGTCTGAGCTCTCTAGTAGTTTCCACTCATCTATTTGTTTCTTGTTGTACCAGTATCATACTGTTTGTATTTTTGTGGTTTAGATAACTTTTAGATAATAACTTTTAGATTCTTACAGGGAGAATCTCCCTCATTACTCTTTTTAAAGATGGATGATTGACTTAGCTATTTGTGGGCTTTTAGTTTTTTGAGACTGTAATTCTTTAATTCTGCAGCTTTATTAACACCACCGAGCTATATTCATGTAACTCATCTCTCTCAGCTCAAAGAATTTTGTAAAGAAGGTTTTTTTTTTGTTTCATTAAGTCTGTCTCCATTGTACTGATGACATAAATAAGGCACAAACATTTAAGACCATTCTTAATGCTGAAAAGAATGGTATGGTACTGGCTTCTAATATTACAGGAGTTGTAGGGGCTATAACTCTGTTAAGCTGCTTTGCCCATATGACCAAACAGGTAGAGAATTTGAAGTCATCTATGAAAGCCCTGAACTCTGCCTGTGAAAGGGGCTGGGATTTAAAATAAACTAACCTAAATAAAGAGAAATAAACTAACCTAAATAAAGAGACTGGCTCTGGAGAATCAATTGGAAGAGCCAAACAAGGTGGCTAGGCAGATGCAAGATTCAGATCCAAACCCATTACATTCTTCCGGTTGTCTTTTGGCAATGGAGTTAAACATTCATGAGGTAGGAAACACTGGTGTCTTTACTATGTAGCAAGTAATATTCTTGGCATTTTATATATTAAGTCTGAAAACTCACAACACCTCTGCAAGGTGAGTTCTCTTATTGTCCCCATTTTGCAGACAAAGTAACAGAGGCACAGAGGATTAAATCACGTGCACAAGACCTGACCGAGAGTGTTCGATTCATGATTCTAATCAGCCTGACTTCAAAGCCATGATCTTAACCTTGACTCTAAGCTGTCCTCACTCTGGAATTAAATGTCATGTAGGTTTCTGGGAAATCTGACCAGATGTGGCAGGACCGAGGCCCAGGTGAGAAGTTTACTGGGAGGTAGACAGAGTATTAGGTCCAGGGAACAGACTGGGTTTTAACACTGGGCTCTGATACTTGTGGGGCATCATGGAAGGTGTGCAACTTGGTGATAACTTTAGAGGGAAATCAGACAGATCCCACCACGTTTTAATTTGCTGTTACTTGGGTGCCACATAGTAGACTTGACTGCCCTGGTCCTCATAATTCAGGCCCCCGTTTTCAGTAGTAATCCCAGATGGTGGTGAGGAAAGAAGCTAACAGTTGCAGTTGGGCCATGAGAAATGGTGTCAGCAAATAATTTCAAGTTTCTGGTCCAAAAATCTTAGAATACATTTCTCCCAAGTGAAAATTGCTCTGGGAAGCTGAGTGGGTCTGATTCGTTGATGAGGACTGTCAATGGCTTCTAACATGAGAAGCTGGCCAAAGGCAACAGAAGCGAGTGAAATATGGTGATAGCTGGTATGAGACATGGGTTCAATAGGCCAGCTGTACCAATAGAGGCTCTGCTCCTGAGACAGTCACAGGGGATCCTCCCACCAGAATATGAGCCCCATCCAGGTTAACACAGACTCTTATCTATTTTGTCCTGTTCTTCACTTTTAGGACCTAGAACAGGGTTTAGCAAATCATAGACACCGGTAAATATTTTTGAGTTGAATGCTTTTTCATCCAAGGTGTTTTTGAGAAGGGAAAGCAGTTAATTGATGAAAAAGAGGAGAAAAATTGTTGCTTTCTGTAGGAGAATACTTGGCAAAAAGAAGGAATAAAAACCACACCATTTTTTGGTAAAATTTATTTATTGTTATGTTTGTGTATTTTTATTAAGAAGCAGACTAAATATTAGAAGCAAAGAGGTGAGTAAGAATCCCCCAGAAGCAGTAACTGGGATGGATAGCTGGTCCTGCTGGTGTCCGCACAGCGGAAGCCAGGAAGCCTGCAGTGTATTAGCAAACACCTTGTTCAGGCAGATACTGGGTTCAAGTTCTCAGCTGGTAGAGAAGAGCTAAGTAAACTTTTGCCTTGCTATTTTTTTTTAAAGATGTGAGCAAACATTTTGTTGTCATTTCTAGTGAGATTACCAACATAATGTCCATTTTCTGCACTTTTTTTTTTTTCTTGGAAAGCCTGATTCTTCCCTAAGGGCTGGGGACTATTTGTTCATGTAGAACAGAGGCAAGATGCCCAGCAAAACACTGAGGATGCTGGAAATGGCACAGGCTGTCTGTACAAGGCATTGAAGCTGTCAAAGCCCGTCCTTGCCCTCCCCGGAGAAGCACCATCTGGATGATGGCCCCTCCCAGTGGGGAGGTGGCCACAGCATGTTCAGAGCTAGAGCACCACCTACTCATTGGGGAAATCAGGCCATGTGCTCAGTCTGCCACTCTCTGAAATTTGAGCATCTTTTTAAGTAGGTTTATGGCAGTATATCCCATTGGGTTCGAGAATCAGGCTCATACATTCAGGCTTATCCGTTTAGTGTCATAAGCTACAGATTTCCTCTGTGTCTGCATTTTGTTCAGTGGCTTCTTTCCCAACTCAGCAAATTGAGGATGCTACAATCTCTAACTGTTCATTAGCAGCTTGGTCAGACAGAGGAGTGTTTATTAGGCACTTAACAAGCATTTGCTGAATTAAAATGTTGACTATAGTTTAAAGCAAAATACGTAAACAAAGCTGAATCATCCGGAGATGATTACATGTCAAGTGTGCACTCTGACAATGTGTTGCACGGATTATGTCTCCTTCATAGACAATCTGGATGAGCTTTATGGTCACAGAGACTCAGATAAATTGCCTCCTCTTTGGTAGAATACTTAAGGGACTTTCAAGCTCTTCTGAAACAGGGTTAGATGTTCTGAGGTTAAGAATAAGAAGTGCATTTATTTCCTGATCTTGAAGGATACATTGAAGATTATGGATCTTAGCATCTTATTTCTATATTAGATAGCAGCAAAAACTTTATATTTCTGAAATTTGAGTTGCTACAAAAAAAAAATCTATTTGACTATCATTTATGAACTCCGCCCTTGTATCTTTGTCTGTTGGGCGTGCGTTAGAGCTTTGGGAGTTCTTGTTGCTTCAGTTCAGATGATTGCAGTATGGAGTGGACGTTTTCAAAGATCTAAGGTTGGGGCTAAGAGGACAGGGAAGTATCTGTTTCCCTGATGCCTTGCACAGTGCCTGGCAAATGGACACCTAAAAATATTTGTGGGATGAGTGAGTAAGTCTCGCCCATTGAGTATCTATTTTTTTTAAAAGTCCTTCACCAAGAATATGTGAAAAGAAAGAAATAAAAAGGAGGATAATTTTTCACTCATTTTTCTTGGATTGTACTCCAAAGGGGGCATACTTCTGCCCAAACCACTTTTCTGAGGAGTGACATGCTGTAAATTCCACGTTCTGGGTGCTATTCTCAACTAACTCTGCACACATTCTCACTTTGCTGGACACCAGGACACTGACGAGCTACCCTAGATTCCTAAGTGATCGAATGTCAAAGTCCCATAGTGGGACCCTTCATTGAAAGTGGAAATCTGTTTTGTTGCTGATAGTAATGACTATTGTTAACTTTAGTTATTCCTCCTTCCTCCAACTGGAACTTTGGTTAAGTTTGGGCGAATTCCTTAGCTCATTTTACATTTTTCCTTGAGGGCAAATCTGTCTATGGAGGTGCTGGACTTAGGACACAGGAGCATCTAATATAAGCGAACTTTTTTCTTTATAAGGAACTCTTTAAGATGGAACCATAGTTCTAGTGTAACAAAAGGACTCTGAAGGCGATGGCCAGGAATGACTCAACTGTTTATTTTTATTAGAAGATCAAATGGAGTAGATTGTACTGGATGATGTAACAGGAATGGGATTCCTGAAGGCTGATGGATTACTAGGGGAGCTTAGGGAGTGGCCTCAAGACCCACTTCCTCCCGCCTCCCCCCCCCCATTTCTGCTTTAGTCATAGCATTTATCCTCTTAACTGTTTTACATTTGGGAATCCTACATAATATATTATTTTGGGGGGAAAATGGATGTAGCCTGGCTGTTGTGGCTCAGCAGTTGAGCATCAACCTAGGATCTAGAAGACTGGGGTTTGATACCCAGTCAGGGCATATGCCCGGGTTGCAGGCTCCATCCTCAGCAGGGAGCGTGCGGGAGGCAGCCGATCAATGACTCTCATCATTGATGATGTTTCTCTCTCTCTCCCTTCCTCTCTCTGAAATCAACAAAGCCATTAAAAAAATGGATGTATGTAAAGATTGAAACTACTGTTAAAGAGAGAAGACAATGGCTTTTACTCTTGAAGAAAGTTCTTCAATTTCTTCTAATTCTCTGTAACCTGAACATTTTTTTACTCATTCAGAGGCTTTGTTTCCTCATTTGTAAAATGAGGTTAGTGTGAGAATTGGGTATAGACTCTACAGGCTATGTAAGCCATCCTCTCCAAGACCAAAGCTAATTTTTCTTAGGAATAGAAGTGGCCTCATAATCTTTCCAACACTGCTCTGACATGAGAGTTCACACATGAATTGAAACACATTTACAGTCCCGTAAGACTTTAAACCAAAAGACTAAGTATAGAAGTGTGTGAATAAAACTTTAAGAATGTTAGAAAATGGTCGTATCATGTGACCAGGCAATTTAGCTTGAGGCAGCAGTTAATAAAAATCCCTTCAAATAAGGATTTCTTAATGAAATAATAGCTAACAATGACTAACTTGACTGAGTGGTTACTATGTGCCAAGCAATATTCTATTCATTTTTCATGAATTAACTCATTGAATCCTTTCAACAACTCTGAGTAAAAGACAGATCTCGTAGTAGCATTGCATAGATTCTGATGCCATTATTTCAGGATGGCCTTGGTCCATTTGTGATTCCCTTTAAAGTGCCAGTTTAGCTTTTAGTATTTATATATTAATTTTATTTTAGGGAATTTACTTGATCTGACTTGTGGAAGAGATTTGAATCTCTACAAATCTGACAAAGTTCCTTATTTGTGTCATTCAGATTGGCAGCCATTACTTTCCATCAAAGTAGTTCTGTGCCACTAAAACGAGCTATTATATGGAGTTTGCTACCTTGGTACAGTAGCTAAGTCAAATGATAATTGCACATGAATCCTGCAAAAAATGCAGGATTCTGAAAAGTGGTCTGGGAATATATAAATTTTAAGGCAGCCATGTCTTTAATGTTTGTTTCCCAAAGTACATCCCACAAGGTAGTAAACATAAGAATTACAGTTGTTTCTTGGGGAAAGAGTTTATAAGTTGTATGTGCTGAGGAAATGGTGAGTTAAACACAGTTAATCAGGGTTTGTTTTTTCAGTCGGATTTTTGGAGACTTTTACATGTGCAATTGTGAATCTCCAGAAAGTTGTATGTATGTTTGTCTGAGTATGTGTGTGTGCATGTGTGTGTATGAACCCACATTTCCCAGCTTTATTTTAGCCATTTTTCTTCAAAGCTGTGCTTTCAGACCGTGCTGCAAATTCCCATTTTGCAACTCGGAAGCTTGGTATCCCCTCACTTTTTCTCTGTACTCATTTTATAAGGCTCCTAATCTGTCCCCTGCTTATGGATGTCACCAGTGAACTCCAGCAAAGGTTACATGCGCAAAAACCAAATAGAAATGTGTATGGATGATTTCCAAAATAGTATCCTCAGCACACTGCCTAGCTACCATCATCCTGCCATCCAGGTTCTTCATCTTTACTTGAAGTAGGAAGGCTGAGAGCCACTGTGCCAAGTTTTACAGACTTAGGTAAACGTCTTAAGATTTTTATGCCTGTTTCTTCAAATATAAAATGAAGAAAAAGTTGCTTGAGTTATCTGCTTTACAAAGGTGTTTGTATGTGTGAAGGAAGGGGTGAGGGAAGTTTCTATATAATAATGTATTTGAAGTGCTTTTAAAAAACAGAACACATTCATATGTGCATTATAACATTGGATCTCCTTTTGGTAGGGCTCCTCCCCAATTCAGCCTTCAGTTTTCTGACTGTCCAGACTCACTATTATTGATACTATTTTGTAAACAAAGACATAAAACTGTTAAAAGAGACTAGAGAGGAAGTTAACTGTATTTCCCTTTAATGCAAATCACCATCTCCTGAATTGTTTGGTTCATAAATATGTGTTTTTATATGATGGATTTCTCTACGTGTGTGCCCTTTGACCTAAAATGCACCAAGCTTTATAAATTAAGCTCCTGCTATTAATGGCCATCAATGAGGCAACGAAGGTAACCAGCTAGCTTTCCCCAAGTCTAGTAACATATATATAGATCAGTGACTCCGATTCATAGCCATATTATGCCAGTATTATTTGTATGACCATCAACAGTACAGAAAGACAGGAAGGCTGATTGAGTTGTGCATGCTAACACCTTTTCTGTTCTCTCTTGTGCCCCTGCCACCCTACAGAGAGTGCAGCATCCACACGAGTGCCCTTCCTGCGGAGGCTTCGGCTTCCATCCGTGCTCCGTGTGCCATGGGAGCAAGATGTCAGTGTTTCGAAACTGCTTCACAGACTCTTTCAAAGCCCTGAAGTGCACGGCTTGCAACGAGAACGGTCTTCAGCGCTGTAAGAGCTGTGCTGGTTAGGCCGAGCTTCCGCCAGGGAAAGCCTCATTAGCTGAGGCAATGATTTGCTTTATACTTTTTTAAAAAATGGTCACGTTTATGGATTAATCAATAAACTTTGTTTATTATAATTGACTTTGTTTTGAATTTTTACTGTGACCATTTTATTTGATTTATTAAATAAGTGTTTATTTAACAACTATGATGTGCCAAGCCTTGTGCTAGATCCTGATTTCTAATTGGAGTTACCCAGTACCGTTCCAAGATATCCAAAGTTTGACTTTCTAAATGGGTTTGATTTTCTAAAGAAAAGACAAAATATGTCTATCTAATCATGCCTACTGCAATGTCACCCTATTGATGAGTTGTATGACACTTTGAAAAGTGTGTCCCAGCGTCAGGGAAGAAGAGAGCTCTGGATGGTGGGAAAGAATATGATCATATTTATTCTCAGACTGTAGAATTTGTATTAAGTCTTGGATCAGATGATATTAATGATAAATAATTAATGTTACCAGATGGATTTCTTGGTGATGATAAAAAAAGCTGCCAGAAGACTTCTCTGGACTTATTTTCTTTTCAAGCATCTGCTCTGTGCTATTGTCACAGAAAGTCCTCCAAAAGGCTGCTATTATAGCCCTCCTGAGCTGGACACAGAGAACTACCAATTGAATGCATCGTAGGCAATGACAGCAAAGTGGACAGAGGAAGGTTTGCTGTAATTATTGGCTATACCGAAATGCACACACATCTGTACTCTGATGAATTCCTTAGCAGTGATTTTAATAAATCACCCTCACAATATTTGTAATAAGGTCATCAAAATATTTTATATCTTGGTTTTAGAAAAAGCTATAAATATTTACCAAATACTTTCTAATCAGCTAGGCACAGTATATAGTATATTTCTGCTTTCATGGTGTTTACCCTCTAAGAAGAGAGGAAGTACTAAATATCTATAAGCAGAATGAGTCTTAAATGAAACTGTGCTATGGGAATGTACAGCAGGAGGAGCAACCTAGATGAATTAGAAAACAGTAAGAAGACACTGTTAAGCAACTGATACTTAAACAGACATGAAGGGTAATTGGAAACTAGTTAGTCAAAGAGCAGGAGAGATTGTGCTTCAGGTAAAGGGTAGTGTATGTGGAGATTCTGAGGTCAGAGGAAAGTTGTATGTTTGAGAATCTGTAAGGAATCTAATATGGGGAATTTCAGTCTGGTAATAGTGGACCAGTTTATAGCAGACTAAGCCTACAGCTAATAATGCATTTAGCATGAACAAAATAGTAAAAAAATAAACAACTGTTCAAGGCAGTGGGAAGCAACTGAAAATGGAAACAAAAGGGAAGGGATTCAATTACTAGACAAAGGGAAACAAAATGAGCCCCACATTTATCCAGCATATCCTCTGAGAGCACATCCCAGTTTTCACTGATTATAACTCATAAAGAAAGTGCATTGAAACTATAGACATCTTTAAAATGTTGTCACCCAATCCATAAACCTGGTAGATCTGTCCATGTATTTGAATCTTCTATAATTTCTCCGTGATATCTGCACTATAGTGTTGCATTATTTTAGTTTTATATTTTAAATGTCTATTGCTTGTGTATCATAGTTCTAATTTTTGTATGAGGAGCTTGAAGTTAACAACTTTGTTAACTTCACTTCGAGGTTCAGCAGTTTGTAGATTCCTTTGGATTTTCTACATTTCAATTGAGTTATTTACAAATAATGAGCTTTATTTTTTCCAATTCTTATGACTTTTTCTTGCCTTATTTAGGACTTTCATCACAATGTTGAATAGAAGTGATGAAAGTAAACATTCACACACTCTTCCTGAAAAAATAAATATTGGAATTTGGGGATGCAGCATGCCTGGAATTGAATGGAAAATTCTAAGAAATGAGAGGACCAAAGACGAGTCCCCAAATCTGCTCATTAATTCCACTCAAACCCTTGGATGATTCCTAACCTAAGTATAGAGAGTGATATCCTGGGACCAAGCAATTCTCTGACACCACCTGGGTATCCTACAATTCAACTCAGTTCTGACACTATTTTTCTGAAGATAGTGTCAGATTCCACAGATTAAGGACTCATTCCTATAAGACTGCCCTCCCTCCCCACATACTACCTGTGTTTCCAACCGACTGACTATAGATCATGATTCCCTCCTTGGGTCTAATTAATTTGCTAGAGCAGCTCACAGAACTCAGAGAAACATTTTACTTACTAGATTTATTATAAAAGGATATAACTCAGGAAGAGCCAGATGGAAAAGATGTATAGGGCAGGGCATGGGGAAGGGGTGCAGAGCTTCCATGTCCTCTCCAGGTGCATTACTCCCCAAATTTCCAACTGGGAAGTATCTAGACCCTGTCCCTTTGGAGTTTTGTGGAGGCTTCCTCACATAGATGTGATTGATTGAATCATTGTTCATTGGCAGTTGATTCAACCTCCAGTCCCTCTCTCATCCCCAGAGACCAGAATGGGACTGAAAGTTCTAACCCTCTAATCACATGGTTGCTTCCCCTGGCATGGGAGGCTGTCTTAGGTGAGTTCCAAAAGCCACCTCATTGACATAACAAGAGACAATTTTATGCTTTTATAATTTAGAAAATTATAAGCATTTCTAGGGGTTCTGTGCTAGAAAAGGGTAAGAAGACCAAATATGTATTTTTTTTATAAGTCACAATTTCACAGAGGAAAGAAGTAGCTAAGAGGCCAGAATTGAGCAGAGAGTTCAGTAGCTGCCAATGTTGCAAGTCAGTTTGGACTTCACAAGGAAACACATGAATGTCTCCTTGAAATCTCAGAGGGGTCCCATCTTTAGAGTAAGGCTAGAAATTTAGGGCTGTGTTGTAGAGCTAAAAAACAAACAAACAGAAAAAAACACTAAACAGACTTGCCCTTAGAAGACAAAACCTAACTTCCATGGTATCATGGTTATCTTTTAGTATGTGACTACTTGTTATAAAACTCAAATGAGAAATATAAAGGAACTCATTGAATAGGAAAATCTACAGCTAACATAATGCTTAATGGTATATACAATATTAAATATTTTCCTCTTAAGATCAGGAAGAGTGCATAAATGTTCACTTTCATCACTTCTATTCAACATTGTGATGGAGGTCCTAGCTAGTGAAATAGGAAAGAAAAAAAATTATAAAGATTGGAAAAAAATAAAGCTTATTATTTTAAATAACACAATTAGGATGAGAAAATCCAAAGGAATCTATAAATTGTTGAACCTCAAAGTGAAGTTCACAAAATTGTTGAATTCAAGTTCATTAGACAAAAATTAGAAATACAGTACACAAGTAACATACACTTAGAAAGTAAAACTAAAATAATACAATTTATAATACTGTCAGAAAACATCAAGTACATGGAATTCATTTTACAAAAGATGTGTAGGACTTCTACATTTAAAACGAGAGTGCAGATTTTGACGAAAAATTATAGAAGTTCCAAATACATGGACAAATCTACCGTGTTTATGGATTGGGTGACGACATTATAAAAATGTCTATAGTTTCGGCGCAATCTCAATTAAAATCCCATCGGATGTTTTGTAGAATTGACCAAAAATTCTAAATTTAAATGAAAATGCAAACAATGTAGAGTATCCAATGCAGAGTACTCCACTTTGAACAAGTAGAGTAAAATTAGTATAGACAAATAGATCTGAGGAATCTAATGGAACATACAGAAGTAGATGAACACAATAAGGTCAATTGTGTTTTCAGGAAGGATGGCAATTCAAAGCAATGGGCAATGGAAAGTCTTTGTGACAAATAGTGCTGGAAACTACCATAGTCCCACATGGAGGAAAATGACTTTGAAACGGCTGCTACTACCACGGCTACCACGACTGCTACTGGCATCTAATGGCTAGAGGCCACGGATACTGCTAAACACCCAAAACACAGGGTGACTCCTCCCTTCCACAAAGGATTATCCAGTCTAAAATGTCAGTTGTGTGAGATTGAGAAACTCTGATCTAAATGTTAAAGCTGAACCAGGAGAGTAACTTCACCATACTGGGGTAGGCAAAGATGTTTTAACAAGTCACAAGATGCCTAACTATGGACAATAATAAACTGGACTTAGTTAAAGTTAAAATCTCCTCATTAAAAGACATTATTTAAAAAATGAAGAGAGAAGCCACAACTGGTAGGATATATTCACAGCACAAATCTGCCAAAGGACTCACATCTGAGTAATTTAAAGAACTCTGAAAAATCAATAATTAAGACAATTTAATAAAAATGTAGGCAACAGCCACGTCACAAAAGTAGACATGGGTGGCTAAAAATGTAGGAAAATGTACATCACTAGTCATCAGGGAATGCAAATTAAAATCACAATGCGGTATTACTACATCATGTCTAGAATGGCTAAATTTTGAAAAGTGTGAAAATGTGAAGTGTTGGTGTGGACATGGAGCAACTGGAACTCTCATACGTTGCTAATGAGAATATTAAGTGATTAAAAACATATTTCCACGTGGTAGAAGAGTTTTATGGAATCTCTATCATTAATAGCTGAAAAAGTGGAAAGATCGCTAATGCCCACTGACAGGAGAATTGATAAGCAAATTGTGATGTATTATCACAAGGGCATACCACCGAGCCTCAAAGAGGAACAAGCTATTAACTCGAGCAATAACATGGGTGAATCTCAAACACGTTATGTGAATACACTAAGCCAGACACAAAGGCTTTGGACTATGTGATTCCATTTATACAGGGTGGAGCAAAAGTAGGTTTAAAGTTGCTCATATGGAAAATAGTACAATAATTAATAAGTAATAATACAGGAATAAACTCTGTGTTTTGTGTACTCACAACTGTAAACCTGTTTTTGCGCCATCCTGTATGAAAGCTAGAGACTAGGCCGAAATTAATCTATAGAATAGTTGCCTCAAAGGCAGGAGGGAGCAGGAGGAGGAAATTAAATATGAAGACAAATTACGGCTACTCCAGAGAAGATCGCTCCTCTGTCAGAGTGGGGGGAGAGTTTCCTGCATCGAAGAAGAGTTTCTCATCACAGCTCCAACGTGGTTCTGAGAGTCTATGAATTATCTATGAAATGTCCTGACTACGCAAACCCTGGCTAT